GCTCTGATCCACCAGGAGGCCTGGTCTCAGACCGGGCCGCGGGGGCGTTGACCCCCGGAACTCTCTCCAGGTAAACTCCAGGTAACATCTCTGACTCATCTGAGTCTTAAACTTCCAACTGTGACCCCTTGTGTCTGTGTCCCATCTCTGGAACATCCTGCTCTGTCCACCTTGTCAATTCCTCGCAGTACTTTATATGTCATCATGTCTCCCCTAGCCCTCCTGTCCTCCAGTGTTGTCAGGCCGATTTCCCTTATCCTTTCTTTGTAGGACATTCCTCTTAGCTCTGGAACTAGCCTTACCTGGAGTTTACCTGGAGAGAGTTCCGGGAGTCAACGCCCCCGCGGCCCGGTCTGTGACCAGGCCTCCTGGTGGATCAGAGCCTGATCAACCAGGCTGTTGCTGCTGGCTGCACGCAAACCAACGTACGAGCCTTGTTGCAAACCTTTGCACTTTCTCTAATTTCTTAACGTGCCTGACCAGGTATGGGTTCCAAAATGGTGCTGCATACTCCAGTATGGGCCTGACGTACACGGTGTACAGAGTCTTGAACGATTCCTTACTGAGGTATCAGAACGCTGTTCTCAGGTTTGTGTGGACTCGCCTAGTTATACTCACCTAGTTGTGGTTGCAGGGGTCGACTCACGGCTCTTAGCTCTGCCTCTTCACTATGTATTCACCTAGCTGTGGTTGCGGGGGTCGAGTCACAGCTCCTGGCCCCGCCAGGAGAGAGAGAGAGTGTTTATGTGAACCTGTACCTGAATGAAAACTTAATAATATCAAGTTATAGGCATTATTACCACAGCTAAAGTGTCACTATTACTAATATTTTAATCCACCAGACTACATTCTAGCAGCATTTTTTTTATGGTGTGTTATGTACTGCTAGAAGCAATTTACAGATTATAAATGTTTTGCTGCAGTGTTCTATCATCTCTGGCTCTACTCCTGTTATAGGATTGGTGCTCAACTTGACGGTGCCCTTCATGACGCAGATTAAATTTGGCAAACATCCTGGTGTGTTGGAAGAGACCAATGACTATACCGTTTCCCTCTATGTTCAGCCCAGCTACTACCAGCACAGTGACCTCCCCACACCCATCAGCAATGAGGTACTTTTATAAAAACGACTCTTTTTCTTTTTTTCTGTTGCTAAGCGATCTGAGAAAGAGAGTTCCTCCCTATGATATAAACCCTTTCCCCCCATACCTCAGTGCATGCAAGAGACATAATTGCAACCCAGAACACTAAATAGGCCAGGGCATTGCCATGAGGTTCGGGGGCACTCCCATGAGGTTCAGGAGCTGGAGATCAACAGCTTGAAGAGTCCCATATGTTTTAGTTCAACAAACTCATGAAAGCTAATACCCATAGCTTAAGATCCTCAATAAGCTCAGGAGTTGTAATCAACTTCCATAAGAGGGTCAGGAACTGTAATAATCCAAACCATCCTCTTAGGTAAACTCCAGGTACATCAGCATTGAAGGTTTGAGTCTGATCAGTAGAAGCATTTAAAAATTATTGCATGGAAAAAATATTGGAATGTCATCATTAAAATTGACACCTACACAGCTAAGTGTCTCATAGCTCAATCGCGCACTCAGCTCAACCCAGCTGAGGTTCGGGGATTGATCCCCCGGTACGGCTGAAAAGCATTAGGACGTATTTCCATAAGACACCTGCTGTCCCTGTTCACCTATCAGTAAAATGAGTACCTGGGTGTTAGTCAACTGGTGTGGATCGCATCCTGTGACAAAACTGACCTAATCTGCCTGAAATGCTCTGCATAACAAGGGGCTTTCTATATAGTAGTATGTCATTGATGTCAGCTAGGCCTGTATACCTTGTACATGTACTTGTAGAAATAAAGATATTATTATATTATTAAGAGAAAGATGTACATGTTTTTAAAAGGGGCCACAGCTATATCAGATCACTTTTTAGTTGTAGCTACAGTGAGAGTAAAAGGTAGACAGGATACAAGGAAAATAGAAGCAATAAGTAAGAGAGGTGAAGGTTTATAAACTAGAGGAAGAGGCAGTTAGGGTAAAATATAAACAACTACTGGAGGATAGATGGGCTAGTAAGAGCCCATGCAATGTGGTTGAAGATGTATGGGGTAGGTTTAAAAATGTAGTGTTAGTGTGTGCAGCAGAAGTTTGTGGTTACAGGAAAGTGGGTGTGGGAGAGAAGAAGAGCAATTGTTGGAATAATGATGTAAAGAGAGTAGTAAAGGAGAAGAAGTTAGCATATGAGAGGTTTTTACAGAGTAGAAATTATGCAAGGAGGGAGTATATGGAGAGAAAAAAAGAGAGGTTAAGAGAGTGGTGAAGCAATGTAGAAAGAGAGCAAATGAGAGAGTGGGTGTTTTGTTATCAACAAATTTTGTTGAAAATAAGAAAAAGTTTTGGAGTGAGATTAATAAGCTGAGGAAGCCGAGGGAACAAATGGATTTGATGGTTAAAAAATAGGAGAGGAGAGTTATTAAATGAAGAGTTAGATGGAGGGAATATTTTGAGGAATTGCTAAATATTGATGAATATATAAATTCGTGTTTACCTGGAGAATTTACCGGGAGAGAGTTCCGGGGGTCAACACCCCCGCATCCCTGTCTGTGACCAGGCCTCATGGTGGATCAGAGCCTGATCAACCAGGCTGTTACTGCTGGCTGCACACAATCCAACGTACGAGCCACAGCCCGGCTGGTCAGGTACCGACTTTGGGTGCATAGGGAAAGGAGGAATAACATCTTGTAGGAATGAGGAAGATCCAGTTGTGAGTGTGGGGGAAGTTCGTGAGGCAGTGGGTAGAATGAAAAGGGGTAAGGCAGCTGGAATTGATGGGATAAAGATAGAAATGTTACAACCAGGTAGAGATATAGTTTTGGAGTGGTTGGTGCTTTTATTTAATAAATGTCTGGAAAAGGGTAAGGTACCTAGGGATTGGCAGAGAGCATGCAAAGTTCCTTTGTATAAAGGCAAAGGGGACAAAAGGGGAATAAGTCTGTTAAGCATACCTGGTAAAGTGTATGGTAGAGTTGTTATTGAAAGAATTAAGAGTAAGATGGAGAGTAGGATAGCAGTTGAACAAGGAGGCTTTAGGAAAGGTAGGGGGTGTGTAGACCAAGTGTTTACAGTGAAACATATAGGTGAACAGTATTTAGATAAGGGTAAAGAGATTTTTGTGGCATTTATGGATTTGGAAAAGGCATATGACAGGGTGGATAGGTGGACAGTATGGCAAATGTTGCAAATACGTATATGGAATAGGTGGTAGGTTACTGAAAGCAGTAAAGAGTTTTTACGAGGATAGCGAGGCTCAGGTTAGAGTATGTAGGAGGAAGATTATTTCCCAGTAAAAGTTAGACAAGGATGTGTGATGTCACCATGGCTGTTCAGCATATTTATAGATGGGGTTGTAAGAGAAGTGAATGTTCAGGTGTTGGCAAGAGGTGTGGGGTTAAAAGAATCTAACACAGAGTGGGAGCAATCACAGTTGCTCTTTGCTGATGACAGTGTGCTTTTGGGAGATTCTGAAGAGAAGTTGCAGAGGTTGGTTGATGAGTTTGGTAGGGTATGTGAAAGAAGAAAATTAAAAGTGAATATAGGAAAGAGTAAGGTGATGAAGATAAGAAAAATTAGGTAACAAAAGATTGGATAAATATCATATTGGAGGGAGAGAGTATGGAGGGGGTGAATGTATTCAGATATTTAGGAGTGGATGTGTCAGCAGATGGGTTTATGAAAGATGAGGTGAATCATAGAATTGATGAGGGGTTTTAAAAAGGTGAGTGGTACACTTAGCAGTCTGTAGAGACAAAGAACTTTGTCAATGGAAGCAAAGAGGGGAATGTATGAGAGTATAGTTATACCAATGCTCTTATATGGGTGTGAAGCATGGGTGGTGAATGTTGCAACAAGGAGAAGACTAGAGGCAATGGAGATGTCATGTCTGAGGGCAATATGTGGTGTGAATATAATGCAGGGAATTCGTAGCTTGGAAATTAGGAGGGGGTGCAGGATTACCAAAACTATTATCCAGAAGGCTGAGGAGGGTTTGTTGAGGTGGTTCAGACAAGTAGAGAGGAAGGAACAAAATAGAATGACTTTGAGAGTGTATAAATTTGTAGTGGAGGGAAGGCAGAGTAGGGGTCAGTCTAGGCAAGGTTGGAAGGAGGGGGTAAAGGAGGTTTTGTGTGTGAGGGGCTTGGACTTCCAGCAAGCATGCGTGAATGTGTTATATAGGAGCGAATGGGGACATGGTTTTTAGGACTTGATGTGCTGTTGGAGTGTGAGCAAGGTAACACTTATGAAGGGATTCAGGGAAACAGGCAGGCCAAAGTACAATACTGACACTCTGAAGGAGGGGTGATAATGTTGCAGTTTTGTAAGCATGCCTCTGGCAAGAGAGTGATGGCGTGAATGATGGTGAAAGTTTTTCTTTTTCGGGCCACCCTGCCTTGGCGGGAGATGGCCGATGTGTTAATAACAGTAAAAATAAAGTAAAAAATAAAGTAAAAATAAAGAGTAAGACCAATCTGAACCTTCCTCTAAGTCAGATACACCAGCTTTGAAAGTTTGAAGGTAATGAGCAGAGAAATTTTGTTGTTTTCACATAAAAGCAATGCTCCTATTATATCTAAAATAGGCACTTACGGAAATTGAGGAGCTTTATGATGCAATACAGAGACGAAATGGAAACATATAGTAGCATTGAGGTCAGTTGTAGTTTAGGTGGAGGAGAACAAATTTACACTTGAAGAGGAATGCAATTACAAACCTCTCTTCCTCGATGTAGTCCTCGTGTAGACTAAGCAGTAAGTTGTCTTTTAAAGTGTACCAGAACTTAAGTAATTTTAGCCATTTAAAGTAGGTGCTTTGATACGGTGAAGGGCTCTTGATCCAAGGACTTAGAGCTAAACTCCCCTTCTTTGTATCATACCTCTTTACCTCCCATTCCCCAGGAGCTGTATGATCCCAGTGTTTAACGTTTCCTCACGAATATAAATATAATTTTGAATATATATTGGAAATTCCTGACTTTGTTTTGGTCATGATGATGTTCTATACTAGTTCCACTAAATCTGTGTGATGTGCCATCCAAAATGTTAGTCCTTATGTAAAAGGAACTCTTGCATTGCTTGAAGAAAACCTTTAAAGCAGCAGTAGCTAGTAAATACATAGTGGGATTTCTGATGTTATCCAGCTAAAATCTTCCTGCTCATGCTGACATTTCATTGCCTTTTTTAAAAACCCATATTGTGCAATAGAGTATGACAAGAAAATCGTTGTGCATAATGGTTAGTTCTTGCTCTAGCTTTGTAATTGTCACAAAGATGAGTGCAACCATCAAGTGTGCATTTAATTTTTAAGGTGGGTCATGGCCTGGTAGGCAGAGCTCTTGCTTTACATGCTGAGGGTTCAGGTTCGATTCCCGGCAAGTTTCCTTACACCTGTGGTCCCTGTTCACCAATCAGTAAAATGGGTACCTGGGTGTTAGTTGACTGGTGTGGGTTGCATCCTGATGCAACCCACACTAGAACAAAATTGACCTAATTTATCCGGAAATGCTCTGCATAACAAGGGGCTTTCTATATAGCAGTATGTCTTTGATGTCAGTTAGGCCTGTATACCTCATACATGTACTTGTAGAAATAAAGATTTTTTTTTTAACATGTTGGCTGTTTCCCATGAGGCAGGGTGACCCAAAAACAAAGAAAAAACTTTCATCATCATTCAACACTTTTGCCATTACTCATACATAATCACTGTCTTTGTAGAGGCGCTCAGATACGACAGTTTAGAAGTCCCTCCAAACTGCCAATATCCCAAACCCCTCCTTTAAAATGAAGGTATTGTACTTCCCATTTCCAGGAATCAAGTCTGGCTAACTGGTTTCCCTGAATCCCTTCACAAAATATTACCTTGCTCACACTCCAACAGCTCGTCAGGTCCCAAAAACCATTCATATCCATTCACTCCTATCTAACATGTTCATGCATGCTTGCTGGAAGTCCAAGCCCCTTGCAAGCACCCAGGGAGGTACTACCGTCCTACCAAGTGAGTGTAAAACGGAAGCCTGTATTTGTTTTACATGATGGTAGGATTGCTGGTGTCATTTTTCTGTCCAATAAACATGCAAGATTTCAGGTACGTCTTGCTACTTCTACTTACACTTAGGTCACACTAAACATGCTTGTACACATTTATGTATACACACTCATCTGAGTTTTTTTTATTTTATCTTAATAGTTCTTGTTCTTATTGTTTTTCCTTTCATATCCATGGGAAAGTGGAATAAGAATCTTTCCTCTGTAAGCCATGCGTGTTGTAAAAGTCAACTAAAATGCCAGGAAATGAGCCATCCATAGTTCACCAATCTGTATGGAATTGAAAAACCCAGGGAGCCAAATCAGAAAAATAAAATTTTTTGATCTTTAGAGTATAGAGTGATAGTGCTTGACTTTCAAGAATGTTTTTTTTTTTTTATTAACATGTCGGCAGATTCCCACCAAGGCAGGGTGGCCCGAAAAAGAAAAACTTTATCATCATTCACTCCATCACTGTCTTGCCAGAGGGATGCTTTACACTACAGTTATAAAACTGCAACATTAACACCCTTCCTTCAGAGTGTAGACACTGTACTTCCCATCTCCAGGACTCAGGTCCGGCCTGCTGGTTTCTCTGAATCCCTTCATAAATGTTACTTTGCTCACACTCCAACAGCACATAAGAACATAAGAACATAAGAACGAAGGAACACTGCAGAAGGCCTACTGGTCCATGCGAGGCAGGTCCAAGTCCCTACCGGCTTAAGCCAATGCACCCAACCTAGTCAGGTCAGGTCACATTGACTTAAGGGAGGAACACGGCAACCGACCTGTTAGCACAAGCTATCAGGTCCAACTCACACCCACCCACATCTACTCATGTATTTATCCAACCTATTTTTAAAGCTACACAACGTTCTGGCCTCTATAACGGTACTTGGGAGTTTGTTCCACTCATCCACAACTCTATTACCAACCAGTACTTTCCTATATCCCTCCTGAATCTGAATTTTTTCCAACTTAAAACCATTGCTGCGAGTCCTGTCTAGGCTAGATATTTTCAGCACACTATTTACATCCCCTTTATTTATTCCTGTCTTCCACTTATAAACCTCAATCATATCCCCCCTAATTCTACGTCTTTCTAGAGAGTGCAGTTTCAGGGCCCTTAGTCTATCCTCATAGGGAAGGTTTCTGATACATGGGATCATCTTTGTCATCCTCCTTTGTACATTTTCCAGAGAATTTATATCCATTCTGTAATACGGTGACCAAAACTGTGCAGCATAATCTAAATGAGGCCTAACCAAGGATGTATAGAGTTGAAGAACAACCTGAGGACTCCTATTATTTATGCTTCTTGATATGAAGCCAAGGATTCTATTAGCTTTATTGCGAACACTTATGCACTGTTGTCTTGGTTTCAGATTACTGCTAACCAGAACTCCTAAATCTTTTTCGCAATCCGTAATATTAAGATCTACATTATTTAGTTTATATGTGGCATGGTTATTGTCCTGTCCAACATTTAGAACTTTGCATTTGTCTATATTAAACTGCATCTGCCACTTCTCCGACCACTGCATCAGTCTATTCAAATCTTCCTGGAGTGCTCGAATGTCCTCGTCAGAATGAATTCGACGGCCTATTTTGGTGTCATCGGCAAACTTGCCGATGTCGCTCTTTATGCCCTCATCTATGTCGTTTATGTAGATTGTGAACAGCATTGGTCTCCATTCACTCCTATTAATACGCTCATGCACGCTTGCTGGAAGTCCTCGCACACAAAACCTCCTTTACCCCCTCCCTCCAACCCTTCCTAGGCCAACCAAAGAATGTATGCACATGTATACTGTGCACATTTGAGTGTTGGAGCATAGCCTAATTATTAATGATGATCTCATTGCTACTGTGCCCTACTAATGTATATTGTAATAAATTTTTGTGATGCATTTTGATTATGAAGTAATAAATGTGCCAGAATTATTTCATTGAAGCATTATGTGATCACTAACAACTTCTTCTGCCTTGTTATAGAGTTGACTTAAATCTACAGTACAATACAGTGCCTGTGTTTTACTTAGGATTATTAAAAAATTTTATTCCATAAGCAGTGAACATGCTTGCTTAATAAAGTTGTCCAAAAGTGAAAACTGATTTTCTGATGATTACATTATAATTAAATGAATAAAAAGAAAGAATTCAAATCGACACATTGATAAATTAGACACATGTGCAACTCTTGCTGAAAATATCTAGCCAAGACAGGATTCGCAGCAATTGCTTCAAGTTGGAAAAGTTCAGATTCAGGAAGGATATAAGAAAGCACTGGTTTGGTAATAGAGTTGTGGATGAGTGGAACAAACTCCCGAGTACCGTCATAGATGCTAAGATGTTGTGTAGTTTTAAAAATAGGTTGGATAAATAAGATAAGATAAGATAAGATAAGATTTCGTTCGGATTTTTAACCCCGGAGGGTTAGCCACCCAGGATAACCCAAGAAAGTCAGTGCGTCATCGAGGACTGTCTAACTTATTTCCATTGGGGTCCTTAATCTTGTCCCCCAGGATGCGACCCACACCAGTCGACTAACACCCAGGTACCTATTTGCTGCTAGGTGAACAGGACAATAGGTGTAAGGAAACGTGTCGAAATGTTTCCACCCGCCGGGAATCGAACCCGGGCCCTCCGTGTGTGAAGCGGGAGCTTTAGCCACCAGGCCACCGGGCCACAGTGGGTGTGGGTGGGTGTGAGTTGGACCTGACTAGCTTTGGCTACGACGTCTGGTGCCATTCTCCTTCCTTAAGTGGAAGTGACCTGACTAGGTGGTCATTGTTCTTGGCTAGGGGGTGGCATGGACCTGCTTCGCATAGGTCAGTAGGCCTGTTGCAGTGTTCCTTCTTTCTTATGTTCTTATGTTAAAAGAAGTGTTAGTGTAAAGTTAGCTTTATCTCATGTAGTACTTGGTCCTAAGTCAACAAATTCAGTAATTCAGGTACTGTATGTCTATGTTATATCATTATAACTAAGAAATATCCGTTGTCAATTTTTTGAGGGTGTGAAGCATGGTTTTTGCAGGTTAGTGAACAGGATGTTGGAGGCAGTGGAAATGTTGTGCTGGGTGGATGCACTAAATTATGCTTTGCACACTATCTTCAGGTTCTGGTAGATGAACTAGAGTCAAAGACTGTGTTTGTGCACAGCTTTGAAGCAAATGTGTGGGATGTTACAGAGAGCTTTCTGCAAGAGAAGGTTCAGACCCTGATGGAGCAACTTAGACACAATGGTGAGGCTTTCCTCGATCGCTACTACTACCTTGCCTCCTACAGTAGGTGAGTGCCTACAGCTGAGGTACAGAGATAAGAGGTATTTGTACTTCTGCTTCTTCCTTTACAGTAAATCATTGCTGAAAGACACAACACAGGGAGTTTAGAGAAATGCTGCTACACAATGCCATCATCATTTTTCTTTATTGAAAGTTAGTCAGAAAAAATGATAGAAGACTGAAAGGTGTATAATTACTACCCAAGTGTTGCTGCATGTTTAAAAGCAGTCTCTCCACTATAATTTAACATAAGCAGGAAAGTGCTCAAGTGTTTTGATATTTATGTAGAGGACTACTTATTCATACTCATTAGTATAAAACTACATAATGTATTAAATATTAAAGATTCTTTTACCTTGTTAAAAGCTCAGTGTAGTTGTGCTGAACCAATATTTTCAATTTTATAGGGAAAACTTCGTTATGTAAATATTCGTTACATAAACCGTTTGTTATAGCATACCCAAATGTATATGGTTTGATAAGGCTTCTGCAGCATCTTAGTAACTAACCTGCTTACAAGATTACATAGTCTCATTAGCTCCTTCCCAGTTCATTGTAGGTAACACGGTAGTTCCTGCCATACATGTTAGCTTATCCTCTATTTATCTACCCATTAACCTATCCCAATCTGATATTTTATGTACATATACCAGTATTATATTATTCCTTCTTGCTACCAATCTACTTGTCCTAATGTGCCGTAATGCCAATCCATTAGCCCCTTTCTATTAAAATTGCTTTCTCTGTTGCTATTAATGGTTATCTCCAGTATCTCCACCCAGATGATTTGTCCACTAGCTGTTATCATTCTCTCTCCTGATCAAGTTATCTGGTTCCACCACTCTATTAATGATATACATTTATTCCTTCCCAGCAATTTACCAAATTTCTTCTTGCTCACTTTTGTACCCATCATTTATCCACAAGACCAGAGTTATATCAAAGGGTATATTATGAGATATGGATCTACGCGACCAACTTCCGTGATCCTCAGACTAATGTGAAGTCTTCAAACTACAACAGAAAGCCACAAACAAACAAGATCACACAGAAGACTCTCAATAAACTCTGCAGAGGTAATATGGACTTTATATTTTTGTTAGTAAAACCCCCCAAAAATGTATGTGACATGAGTAATAGTAGCAATATTAAACTAGTGATAAATTCTTTACTTCCTCTTGCCAAAGCTTGTATGCATATCTCACTTGTATATATAATACTTTACTATATTAATTGTAAGGTATCATACTCAAGAATCAGGTTCAGTGTTCTGAACTGATATGCATACAGTATCCCACTACATTATAATCTTGAATACTGAAATTTCCTAAGCACTTTTTCAAACAAGTTAAAATAAAATAGAGCTTGTTGAGAAATGTAAAGTATTTAGTAATTTTCACAACTTAAACTTTGCCACCTTTATCAAGTTGCCTAATATGGTGCATACATTTTGCTACATCTGAAACTTAATGTTTAGAAGCCATGTACTCTTGGTTTTGTGCATATATGCATGTGCATGAACTCGTCACACAGATAATGAGAATTCTCACCATCATTTATTGTTTTAAACATAAAATAATGAAATATGAATGCATTAGTTACCTTACCTAATATTTCATAGGATTACCCTTCATCTTGATTTACTCCTTACATCTTCACTTGCTGTTTGTTACTGTTAACTAGCAAAGTGGGCAGAGTAAAACTGGCTGTAGAGTGGAAGAGGAGCCTTCTAGTGCTTTAAGGCTGTATTAGTGCAAGTGACAGGAAAGTTAATTTCTGAAGATGTTAGTGTACCCAGTGATACACAAAACTGGTTTTCATTATAATGAAGCACAGTATTCTAAAGCTTTTGATGCTGTACAGTGAGTAAGGCAACCCTGACACATCTTATTCTTTTATAGGGGTGGAATGTCCCAAATTTGAGGTGCTGAGAACCTATAAATATGGTATCCAGAAGAGGCGCTACTACCATGGGCTGTTTGCTTCCACTTCCCCCAGAGAGTGTGAGTTCACTACTATGAGTGTCTGGAAAGGTTTCATGCCACTTCACTTATACAAGCATGGTGAGTATAATTATGGTCAGATAGAAGTACAGTTGCTCTCAGAGATGTTGGTTCACAGCTGAAGGATTCTGGTTTGATCCTGGGGTGGATTGAGACATCGGGCATATTTTCTTACACATGTCGCTATTCACGTAACAGTAAATAGGTATCTGGGTGTTAGCTAACAGTTGTCGGTCACATTCCTGGGGAATGGAGGCAGTATATATTAGATAGGGCTGGGGTTTGAAATGAGTGGAGTTAAAATTACAGCTCGGCCTGTAACTTTGCTGGTGTAAAACAGTGTGTAATTATACAGTAATGTCCTTAGTTTCATCTTTCAGGTGTGAACTCACACATGGAAGTGATCGAGGCAACACGGCCCATAGCTCTGGTGCACATTAGGGATTCCACCGACCCTGATACTGAGTGCCCACAGAATCTCACCATGTCCCTCTACCTTCCACAGCGACTCCACTCCAACCCTCCAGTAACTGGATATGCTGCAGTAAGTACAATAATCTTATTTTTTAGAGACCCTTGTATATCTGTGTTATTATTAAATTCACAAAAAAACTAAATCCATATGTATGTCATTCAGCCCTGTGCACTATTTTAGTTACTTGAAAACAATGAAAATGCTGTGTTTCTTGAATAACATTTTTTATACAAAATCTGTTTTTGACATTCTCAAGAATTCAGTAAACCTCTGTAAATATAGTTGTGCATATACATTCTAATATGATTTTGGTTCAGAGCACTAATTACTTTTTTTTTTGTACCTATAGGAAAAAAGTTATATTCACAGTGTCCTGTCTTCACATTGTTTCTAGCTAATCTAGCTAATGAAGCTAATAAAGAGCTTTCTAGATTTGATAAACAGGAATTTGTGATTGATAACAAAAACACTCGCATCAGTAAAATGTTTTCATAAATAAATGATATGGTGCAGTGCAGTTGAAATATTATTCTGATAGGAAAAAATAAATTGTCAGGTGCATAATTTTTATCCATGTAATAAGAAAAATCTATTGATAAGAAATCTGATAAATCTAACTACGTATTATACTGTTTGCAGCCCTCTGTACACATCACAGACTTAGATGATGTAATTGTGTATGCATACACTGTTGGAGGTTATCTCTTGGACCCTATACGAGTACGCAAGGAGCTGTCAGACATGAAGTATAGATTATCTGAGTTTGGGGCCTGCTACAAGGATGATGAGCATTATGTCGTTATATACGATTTCATTGTTCGGTAAGTGATGAAGCCTAAATATTTCACCTATCATTTATGACTTGAGTTTGAAAACATGTTCAATTATGTGCAATATTTGAAATCTGCCTTTAATTTTAATGACCTTAATTCTAGGTTTCTATATTTTTAATGATATTCAAACCATCAGATACCATGGACGTCAGAATGAAATCTGGATAGTGGCAGAGAATTGCAAAGCAACACACAATGGTTAACAATAGGTTATTGGTAAAATCTTTAACTAGTTTTTAACAGACCTAAACAATGGTAGACTATACAAATGCAAAGGATGTGATATCTTTAACAAGGTTTACAGTATGTGTGTGTACTTTTTTAAAATGGGTTTTTAGTACAGCTGTAACATAATAATAAATCAGCTTCTCATTAGAATCAGAAATAAAGAACAAGCTTTAATCTCATGTAAATATTATAATTAATAAAGATGTTTTTTATGATAACTAATTAAGCATACCTTTAGTGAATATTTATTATAAGGCACACTTGCCTGACCAATTGAACTAGAGTGAAATATGAGTGTGACATAAAAATTTGATAATTGAATGGTTGAGGACACAGGTTTGGAGAGTCATTGATTTATTGTGTCTGGACTTTTGGAAGGATGGCTAAGGAATGAGTGATGGCAATTATATTATTCCCTCTGGGTCACCTTGCCTGATGGGGAGTGGCTGGTTTGTAAAAAAAAAAATTCTGATTTGGTGTTAAGTGATGTATTATGTAGACTAATGAGCATTGTATGTATAATAAAGGAGAATTTTTATTCAGTGTTTCCTAATGAAATCTCTTGTTCATACACTTCATGGAAACATGGGTGCAATAGGTGAAGCTGTAGTAGATGCAAGATACTAAGTAACTATTAAATGCACATTTGACCATAGATTTCTTAAGAAACTGTGCATAGGAATACAGGTATACTCTAGGGTACCATGAAGGCTGCTGCTTATGTCACCCTACTGAACAGTGGGAAACACTGCATTTTATATATAATAATAAATTAATATATTTCTTGAAAGAATGTGAATTGTTGTACTATGTATAGTATTGTTATTAAGTGCTGAACTTGTTGGGATCACATAAAGCATGGGGAATGAGAGGTAATCATAATTGATCTTGGAAAGGAAGGGTAACTCAAATTCCTTGGATCAGTAGCCCTTCAACAGCATCCAGGCACTTTCCTTGAAGCACTTTAATAGAGACATGCCTCGGTGGGAGACAGCCGACTTGTTGAAAAAAAAAAAATGACATGTAACTATGCTCCATTTATTATTCAGTAAATGAAATTAAGGGGTTGGAATGTGATAACAGACTGAGCATAGGGAAGTGATCATCAAGTATTAAATGTGACTATTGTGGTTTGATATATGATCACAAGAATATTTCTTACACTGTTTGTCATAAAGAACCTAGATAGGAAATGTCTGAACACAATTCTTTTAACTGGAACATTCCAAGAAGAACTCTAAGAGAGTTACAATTATTACAATCATCACTAGGTGCTAAACCCACAAGGGTCATACAGTAAGACAGTTACAAGACTTTTCAACACTTATTATCTAATTGGAGCTGTTTCAGTATTGTTTTGAAAATTTACAGGTAAATTTTTAACGCTGCTGCTCTCAATATTAGTACATTTGATTACTATTTCATATTTAAATTAAACTTCATGCATCAGTACATATGCATATACTTGACTGCATGTGGCTTTACTAAAAAGCTACTAGGATATGCATAAAGTAGGATAATAAAAGGGATGAGATATACTGGTACATATATTTATGAGAGGAAAGTAATGATTTGTACATACTGTATTGCTTTTTGTAATTTGTACTGTAGTCACTTCTCAAACAGTTTATCACTAAGCAATGTCTACTATGGTTATACAGAAATTAAACCAATATATACAGGAAGTCTTATACAAGAAGCATATACAATATAAACTTTATTTGCAAAAAAAATACGCTATTTTACTCTAAAACAGCAAAAGTATCACAGAAAAGCTCAACATTTAAACATAAATGTACAGTGGACCCCCGCATAACGATTACCTCCGAATGCGACCAATTATGTAAGTGTATTTATGTAAGTGCGTTTGTACGTGTATGTTTGGGGGTCTGAAATGGACTAATCTACTTCACAATATTTCTTATGGGAACAAATTCGGTCAGTACTGGCACCTGAACATACTTCTGGAGTGAAAAAATATCGTTAACCGGGGGTCCACTGTATTTAGTGTGATAAGAGTGAATTTGCAAGCATGGTACCCTATGTGTTTATTTGATGGTTATTGATAAAATACTCTAATGTATCAGTAGTACTGCAAATAATGTATACAGTACTAAGATACATACAGAAAATAGGGGTAGATGTACAGTATACCCTGATGAGAACAGAAAGCCTGTAATTGACCTAATGAGTTACTGTCAAGTGTGAGGTTACATCCACATGACCACTCCACCAGATACTGATAAGAATCAGTAGCTCATAACCTAACTGAGCATGCAATTCACATCTGCAGCATAACAAGATTCTGAAATACATAATGCTCGGTAATGAATTATATGATGTAAGTGTGATTTTTTTACTTATGAGATATGTTATCTAGAAAGAATTACAAATACAGTACATACGTATGTATGCTTGTAAAAGAACTAAGTTGAAAGTGAAAATAAAGAGCAAGGTGAGAAGACTATGAACACATGGCAAGGAAAAATTGGACTTCAACTTGGGAAACAGAGTATGAGAAAGTGAATTTACTGTATGTAGATACTTGAGAGTTGGTGGTGTTGCGAGTCATAGAATATACGAGGGAAAGAAGCTGGAACTTTGAGGAGTATGTAGAGTAAAAGGAAGAATGTGGAGTAAAAGGGAAAACGTGGAGCAAAAGGAAAAATGTGAAGCAAATGGAAAAATGTTTCAGGGTATAGTGGTGATAACACATTTGTATGGGTGTGATGCATAATCTTTGAATGCTACAGTGAAGAGAAGACTGGAGGTAGTAATGTATCTCTGATCATTGTGTTGCATAAATATTATGTAGAGAGGTGGGAAGCGCTGACATGCAATCAGGAGGACAAGTTGAGATGTGATTTGGAGGATCATTTCAATTGTAATGCCCATGCATTTCTAGTAAGACAACTATTGAATGAGTGATGGTAAATGCATTTTCCTTTTTCAGTCACCCTACCTTGGTGGGAAACATCTCATGTGGTAAAAAATATATATGTATATACTATGTTAGTCTAATAAATAGACTAACAATACATAAATTAAGGAACAGAGATTAGAAATATGCAGTCGTACACTTTCAAAATCCTGTACATTGTTAAGAATGGCCATGTAAATAGCTTTCAATTCTGTTCATAATAAAGGTAGTGGCTATTTCAGTTATAGATATCATTGTAATAATTATCATGTGCTGTTATCAAGGTGCATCCCTGGAGTATATTTGGGAGAGCATTTCAGGGATCAACGTCCCCACGGCTCAGTCTGTGACCAGGCTGCCTGGTGGATCAGGGTCTGATCAACCAGGCTGTTACTGCTGGCTGCACTCAAACTGACATACAAACCACAGCCAGGCTGATCAGGTACTGATTTTAGGTGTCTGTCCAGTACCTTCTTGAAGACAGTCAGGGATCTATTGATAATCCCCCTTATGTATTCTGGGAGGCAGTTGAACAGTCTTGGGCCCCTGACACTTACTGTGTTGTCCCTTAGCATAATTGTGGAGCCCCTGCTTTTCATTTGGGGGATGTTGCATCCCTGTCAAGTCTTTTGCTTTTGTAGGGAGTGATTTTCATGTGCAAATTTGGGACTAGTCCCTCTAGGATTTTCCAAGTGTATATTATCATATAGTATCTTTCTCGCCTGCATTCCAGGCAATACAAATCAAGGGACTTCAACTGTTCCCAGAAGTTTAGGTGTTTTATCATATTTATGCATGCCATGAAAGTTCTCTGTACATTCTCCAGGTCTGCAGTTTCACCTGCCTTGAAAGGGGCCATTAGTATACAGCAATATTACAGCCTAGAGGTGTGGATGTAACTAGGGTGTTATGTATGCAAGTCTGATGTTTTTATACTTTTATTGTATTAATTATTAGAAGTGAAATGACACCAGTCTGCTTCATCAGTTTGCTTCACAAACTGTTTAACTTTATACAGCATTCAAACATACACACACACACATACACTTGAACATACTATACATGAAGCAAAGAAGTAAAGTTGATTTTATATACAGTATTGTACTATATTGTATACATGTTAAAGAAATATTACAGATTAATCGGAAAACCTAAGGAGAAAAGTAATTTTTTAAGGCATTGTAATGTACACTGAACATTAAATACTTCTGTTAAATACTTCTCAATGATGACATCTCTTAAGTAGTCAACAGTATAATGAACTAATCTAGGTAGCATAATAGGCAACCAATTCATGTTTATTTTTACATTTTATATTTTCAAATATTTTTTTACAGACAGTGAAACTTTAACGTAAGGGACTAACAGGAGCAAGAAAGGGTCCTATAATGCCAATTGTGGAGTAAAGCTGAATGATGAGGTTGTTATCCATGGTAATAACAGTAATGAGCAATTATAATAATAATACATTCATTTCTTTTCTGCAGTATACAGGAAATGTAGTTTACATGTAATAAAATATTGTAGGCACAAAAGATTTATTAGACTTTGTTCACTGAATTCTGAATCAATTTACCCAACAGACTATAACAATACCAAATAATTTTGGATTTAACGAACTTTGACCGATGTTCATGGCCTTTGTCCAGACAAATTGAAGTTCTATCTGTATACCGAGATATTCATGTGTCATGCATATATACTTAAATAGCTGAAACAGTTTAGATTTCTATTTTTAGCTTGTATATTTAACAACACCCTGCCTCGGTGGGAGACGGCCGACTTGTTGAAAAAAAAAAAAAAAAATAACAAGTACCTGTAATTTATATTATATACAAATTGTAGTAATGTACAAATATTTTAGGATTTTTAATTTTTTTTTATGTATACAGTACAATATAAGCAAATTTTCCTGCATTATTGTATAAGGGACAACTAGGTGCCACAAATACAATCATATCAGCATGTAAAATTTTTTACCATTTCCATAGCAATACAGTAGTAGATCATGGATTATCCAGCCCCTTCAGGTGGGAGGGAAGTTGCTCCAGATTTTCAACTCTGCCAAATGATCATACCATATTTTATGTCCTTTTGTTTTACATATAAATTTTTTTATGATGATGATTCTGATGATGTTGAAGGCTGACATCAGTGATCTATTTTACTATAATCAAATCAAACCAAATAAAAAAATTATTTCTTTGCAAAGGTTACAATGTGTGTTTACATTTCATAATTTGATCAGTACTGTACAAAGAAAGCCACTATCATGCCGAGGCATTTCAGGCAGACTTAACCTAATACTTAAAGACTACTTAAGTCTAGACAGGTGAAGAGTGATAGATTACAAATATTCAATATTTTATTCGAAAGGTGTAAACTTTGTGTGGACTTTCTTCAAACTTTTTAAGTACAATGCTACTTATTAAAAATGTTGCTAAGTAGATTGCACGAATTGTTTTTAGTGTACATTGCTAATGGATAAATAGTATAGTACTGTACAATAGTATGTAATAAATAAAGACCTCAACATCTGTGTGGCTATATTTTAATAACTTAACCAAAATTAAATGTCATTATTATTATTACTGCTTTCCAACTTGTGTATTTTAAGACATGACAGTCATTGACAACCAGGACCATTTATGATTTTTCACACTTCTACCCCCCACCCTGCACGAATGTACTCCCCTCATTCCCCACAATTCTACCCCCTCACCCTCCATACTTCAATCAGCCCTCCACACTTTTACCTACCCTCCACACTTCTATTTAAGAATTTTGCATACACTGTATTTGTCTCTACAGTCCAGTAGCAGGTGACTTCAGTTTCTTAAAAAGCCAAATGAGCATTTGGAATTCTTCAGAAAATACCACAAGTGTATCTTGTTACTAATGCCTAATAGTTATAATGACAAAGATTCTACAAGAGGTCAAAGGTAAGTCTTCATAGAGAAAACTGTCAAAGGTTAGAAAAACATGACCAAAAAGATAATCTTGCTGGCGAGCATCACTAATAATAATAATAATAATAATAATAATAATAATAATATCTTTATCTCTACAAGTACATGTACAAGTACACAAGGCCTAGCTGACATCAATGACATACTACAATACAGAAATCTCCTTGTTATTCATGGCATTTCAGGCAAATTAGGTCAATTTTGTCTCAGGATGCGACCCACACCAGTCGACCAACACCCAGGTACCTATTTTTACTTATGGGTGAACAGGGACAACAGGTTTAAGGAAATGCCCAATGTTTCCACCTTCGTTGGCAATCGAACCACAGACCCATCAGCATATGAAGCTAGAGCTTTGCCTACCAGGCCATGGGCCACTCTACACCCCAGGTATGTCAAAAAAAAATACTGAGCAAGTTGATGGTAGTTACTGCAATGACATTAATGTTTTGCCAAATTACTTAAAAGAACTCCCATAAAGTTATCGCACTGGCAGCTGTGGTAAGCAATCTGCAAAAAATAGGTGCACCCCTCAAGGAAGGTTCCTTGATGTTGGTGAGGGGCTCTTGATTTAGGGAATTGGATCTGTGCTCCAGTTCCCCGAATTAAGCCTGAATGCCTTCCACATCCCCCCCCAGGCGCTGTATAATCCTCCGGGTTTAGCGCTTCCCCCTTGATTATAATAATAATAATGCAAAAAATAGGGGCACAAATAGTCACAATTTACAAATAGTGCCATAGTATAATGTGGAGACTGATTATATTATAGACACACTTTACTGTACTTAAGAAAATATAGTTCACAGGTATTCAAATGTGGTAAAATTGGATTCCACAGTACTGGACAAGTTTAATGCTAATACTGGTAATTATTGTAAATATGGTACTGTACACATGATTTATTTTATATACAGTGTATGTTTAATTGTGTTATATAAAAATATATTTAATCATACACACAGTAAATAACCGCATTTAAAAGTACATGTAGTACTAAAGAACATGAGAATGGAAATAAAATTTATTATACACATACAAAGAAATTAAAAATACCAAGTGTAGAGTCAAGTCTATTGATAATATCAGATACTGTGGTGTGTACATCAACATTATCTGGGATCTGTCTGAGATGATGTTTGTAAATAATTTCACCCATTTGTGAATTGTTAAGCATGTTTATACATACAGTATTACAGTCTAAGACTAAGACGGCAGGATTTCTTAAGATGACATGGAGGAAAGAATATTCTTAACAGAAAAAGTAGAGCAGTTTACTGTGAGAATACTAATTTAATTAATTAAGTACTGTACTTGTTTAAATAGGTATTGAGGTTACTGATATGACTTGGTAGAAAGAGTAATTGAAAAAAGAATGTGGTAGTGATAATATTGGCAGGAAAAATGACAGCATACCAATTATAGTTAATGGGAATTTATTAACAATAAAAATTGTATTACTTTCCACTTAGGTTATGTGTCTTGAGAGGTGACTAAAGTGCCAGAAGCAAGGGGGTAGTAACGTCTTCTTGATAAATTACTTAATGGAAAAAGAAAAACTTTGTAGTCTCCTACTACGCCTCGGTATATTGACAGCCGGTATATAGAAAATAAAAATATATGTATTAGCCGGGAAAGTAATATCTAATATGATTTTGGTGCTGAACTGCAGACCTAATGAAAACAAGAAAATATGTACCTTTGAAAGGATGTACTTTGTTGCTGGTGAAAGACTTACATGGTGGTGTTCCAGCCCGACCTCTCAACTTGAAATGGGATGTAATGGGGCAGGGGGGGCATTAGAGTTTCTTGGACCTTCATTATGGGGGACGAGCTGGCTCCACAGAGAAGGGGCTGAACCTTGGTCAAGAAAGGACCTATAGAAAAGGCCAGGCCTTGGCAGTGGGTGGACCAACAGATGGAGGCCCTTCAATAGGAATTGTAGCAATTAAATAACTGTATGGCAATCAGCATGGTTTGTGTTACTATTCCCAGAATTGTGTAAAAAACCATTGTAATAACCCCCACGTAGTGCTTCATTATTCCCTCTCAGTAACCTTGTGTAAGTGGTACTTTACAAATGCAGTAATTCTGTATCACCGTGCTTTCAATATTATTAGTGTAATAATAATAATAAGTGTATTCAATCATATTTGCATCAATTATCCCCGAATACAATTTCCCCTGAAATACCATATTTTTGGCATATAAGGCGCAGGAGCACATGATGCATCCCTCCCTCCCACTTGTGGCAAGCATATTCACGGAAAAATTGTAGTATTTAATTGTTCCACACCGATAGTAAGTCAGTGGCTGGCTGTCTATATGCACAGCATAGCTGAAAGATGTAACTTCACATCTGTTGTCTGATCCACCAACCACCAAAGCAAACATGGGTGCCTGCTGTGTACAGATGGCTACTTTACAGTTATTTACAACTGCTGAAGCTGGTTTCCTGATTACATACCAGTAGTATGAAAATTATAATTTACAATAATTACTTATTATTCTAAAGTAATCAGGAGGAAACAGTTTTATTAGGTGAGGGTTGTTTGGTGCTTAGATTACCGGTATCTCAGCACTGAAACCACCAACTGGCAGTAGATCAAAACCTGCCCTTATTCCTCACATAAAACACAGGCTGATTTTTTTACTTTTTTTTTAGGGGGGGGGGGAGGTGGGGAAGTGCGCCTTCTATGCTGGAAAATGTAGAACAGTAGAGCAGTGTTGATTAAGAGGAGTTTAGGCGGTGAAAAGTGCTGTATTAGGAAAAGTTCTCACATGATTAACATTTTTAAGTATTACAGCTATATGGTATAACTTTAGAATTAATAGATTAGTCATATACAAGTTACAATAGAATAATAACATGATATGTTTATGATTTCTTGATTAAACACCTTGCAAGAAAGGTCACATTCATATAAAATTTATTCATATTTATATTTATACATACAGTTTATATATATATTATATATATATATATATATATATATATATATATATATATATATATATATATATATATATATATATTAATATATATATATATATATTATGTCTACTCTCCCCCAACTTCAAAACCCTTATCGTACCTCTTCTTAAAGCTATATATAGATCCTGCCACTACCACTTTACTCTCCAGATTGTCCTATTTCCCGATAACTCTAAGGCTAAAGAAATACTTCCCAATATCCCTCTGACTTATCTGAGTTTTCAATTTCCAGTTGTGCTCTCTTGTTTCTATTTCCCAACTCTGAAATATTCCGTGCCCTGTCCACTTTGTCAGTTCCCCTCAGTATTCTCTATGTCATTATGTATGTTCAAATTATTAAATAAATAAATTATCATGTTACCCCCAACCCTTCAGTCCTCCTCATAAGACATACTCCTCAGCTCCGGGACTAGTCTTGTTGCAAATCTACGTGCTTTCTCTAATTTCTTGACGTGCTTGACTCGATGACGCACTGACTTTCTTGGGTTATCCTGGGTGGCTAACCCTCCGGGGTTAAAAATCCGAACGAAATCTTATCTTATCTTATGTGGGTTCCATAATGCTGTTACATACTCCAATATGGGCCTGATATACACAGTGTCGTGAATGACTGTTTACTTAGATATCGAAAAGCTTTTCTTAGAATTTTCAGACGCGCACGTGTGTTTGTGTAATCACCTGATTGTACTGACATAAGAACATAAGAACATAAGAACGAAGGAACACTGCAGAAGGCCTACTGGCCCATGCGAGGCAGGTCCAAGTCCCTACCGGCTTAAGCCAATGCACCCAACCTAGTCAGGTCAGGTCACATTGAGTTAAGGGAGGAACACGGCAACCGACCTGTTAGCACAAGCTATCAGGTCTAACTCACACCCACCCACATCTACTCATGTATTTATCCAACCTATTTTTAAAGCTACACAACGTTCTGGCCTCTATAACGGTACTTGGGAGTTTGTTCCACTCATCCACAACTCTATTACCAAACCAGTACTTTCCTATATCCCTCCTGAATCTGAATTTTTCCAACTTAAAACCATTGCTGCGAGTCCTGTCTAGGCTAGATATTTTCAGCACACTATTTACATCCCCTTTATTTATTCCTGTCTTCCACTTATAAACCTCAATCATATCCCCCCTGATTCTACGTCTTTCTAGAGAGTGCAGTTTCAGGGCCCTTAGTCTATCCTCATAGGGAAGGTTTCTGATACATGGGATCATCTTTGTCATCCTCCTTTGTACATTTTCCAGAGAATTTATATCCATTCTGTAATACGGTGACCAAAACTGTGCAGCATAATCTAAATGAGGCCTAACCAAGGATGTATAGAGTTGAAGAACAACCTGAGGACTCCTATTATTTATGCTTCTTGATATGAAGCCAAGGATTCTATTAGCTTTATTGCGAACACTTATGCACTGTTGTCTTGGTTTCAGATTACTGCTAACCAGAACTCCTAAATCTTTTTCGCAATCCGTAATATTAAGATCTACATTATTTAGTTTATATGTGGCATGGTTATTGTCCTGTCCAACATTTAGAACTTTGCATTTGTCTATATTAAACTGCATCTGCCACTTCTCCGACCACTGCATCAGTCTATTCAAATCTTCCTGGAGTGCTCGAATGTCCTCGTCAGAATGAATTCGACGGCCTATTTTGGTGTCATCGGCAAACTTGCCGATGTCGCTCTTTATGCCCTCATCTATGTCGTTTATGTAGATTGTGAACAGCAGGGGGCCCAACACTGACCCCTGTGGAACACCGCTCGTGACGCTTCCCCACTCTGATTTCTCCCCATTTATGCAAACTCTCTGCTGCCTATTTGTCAACCATGCCTCTATCCAGGAAAAAATTTCTCCTCCTATTCCATGTGCTTTAATTTTCCTCAATAGTCTCTGATGTGGGACCCTGTCAAAAGCCTTACTGAAGTCCATATACACAATATCATATTCATTACCATGATCTACCTCCTCAAATACCTTAGTGAAAAAAGTTAATAAATTCGTAAGGCAGGAACGCCCCTTTGTAAAACCATGCTGAGATTCGTTGATTAATTTATGCTTTTCAAGGTGGCTACGAACTGCCTCGGCAATTATTGATTCCATAAATTTTCCCACTATGGAGGTTAGGCTTATTGGTCTATAGTTCGAAGCTAAGGACCTGTCACCTGTTTTGAAAATAGGTATCACATTTGCCATTTTCCACTTATCTGGCACCATGCCAGTTTGTAGTGATATGTTGAAAAGATTAGCCAAAGGTGTGCTAAGCTCCTCTTTACATTCCTTTAGAACCCTTGCATACAGTTCATCAGGGCCTGGGGATTTGTTAGGTTTTAATTTATCTATTTGCCTAAGGACCATGTCACTTGTGACCCTAATCGTGCACAGTTTATTATCGTCCTGTTCTACATAATTTATCATTACTGGAATATCGCTGGTATCCTCCTGTGTAAAAACTGAGAGGAGTATGTGTTAAAAATTCTACACATTTCCTTATCACTGTCAGTGAGCTGACCGAGGAACTTTTGAGTGGGCCTATCTTGTCCCTGATCTTACTTCTGTATACCTGAAAGAATCCTTTTGGGTTAGTCTTCGATTCTCTTGCAACTTTAACCTCATAATCTCTTTTTGCTTTTCTAATTCCCTTTTTTATTTCTCTCTTTAACTGAATATATCGATTTCTTAATTGCCCCTCTCCTCTTTTGATTTGCCTATATATGCCTCTCTTTTGACCAATCAGATATTTTAATCTATTGTTCATCCATTTAGGATCATTTTTGTTTGATCTGATTTCCCTATTTGGAACATAATTTGACTGAGCAGCTAGAACTATGCCCTGGAAAGCATCATATCGGCAACCATCACCACCTACCTGACCCCTAGTCAGGTCATTCCAGTTCAGCCCACCTAAGTAATTTTTCAGTCCTATGAAATCAGCCAAGCGAAAGTCAGGGACGGAGACTTGATTGCCATTATTAGGGGAATTCCATGATATGTTAAAACTGAGTGATTTGTGATCACTCTCCCCAAGCTCATCATTAACCTCAAGATTATTAATTAGTGTTTCCCTACTGGCAAGAACCAAGTCAAGGAGGTTATTTCCCCTAGTTGGCTCTGTCACAAACTGTTTTAAAAAACAATCCTGGATCGTATCAAGAAAGTCACCCGACTCTAAATTTCCTGTCAAATTGCTCCAGTCAATCTGTCTATAGTTGAAATCTCCCATTAGCACAACATTTTCGTATGTAGATGCCTTACGAATTTCGTCCCATAGAAGTTTACTGCACTCCCTATCAAGATTTGGGGCCCTGTAAATCACACCCAAAATTAGTTTTTCTCGGCCCTCGAGAAGCTGTAACCAAACAGATTCAGTGGCTGACGCTTCTAATTTAATATCTTGTCTAACACAACAATTTAAATTGTCTCTGACATACATCGCTACTCCACCACCTTTCCTGTTGACCCTGTCAGTGTGGAATAATTTATAGCCTTGTATGTGACATTCAGAGGGCATCTCTCTATCTTTCAGATTGAGCCAGGTCTCTGTTATAGCAATAATATCTATGTTTCCTGCACTTGCAATTAATCTTAGCTCATCTATCTTATTTCTAACACTCCTGCTATTAGTATAGTAAACCTTAAGGGAGCTAGTCCCTTGCTGCCCTCTGCTGTCCCCCTTTGTTTGCTGACCTGTTCTATTGTCTTTATTTATAAACTTCATGCTGAATGCCTTTTATACATTTAATGTTTCCAACCCTAGTGTTGCAACCTGCTTGTTTCCCACACACACCCATACCTCTATCTTCCATCAGTTTAAATCATAGGCATTTCACCAATGGCCTTCTCAATCGAGTCTGCAAGTGCTACCACCCCTGCCCCAGAGAGATGAACCCCATCCCTTGCATACATATCATGTTTGCCATAAAAGTTGTTCCAGTTGTCAATGAATGGGATTGCAAGCTCCTTGCAGTATCTGTCTAGCCAGCAATTTACACCAATTGCCCTAGACAACCATTCATTTCCTACTCCCCTTCTAGGCAAGATGCTACATATGATTGGGATCCCTCCCTTAGACTTAATGAAATCTATAGCTGACCTGTACTTATCTAGCAGCTCTTCTCTCCTACCCTTCCCAATATCATTTCCACCAGCACTGAGACAGATAATGGGCTTGTTCCCATTACCTGACATGATATTATCCAGTCTGTTGACAATGTCCCCAACACCAGCTCCAGGGAAGCACACTCTATCTCTCATCTTCTTATTCCTATTACAAAAAGCACGGTCAACATATCTTACCTGAGAGTCACCAACCACAAGAATGCGCTTACCTTCATTAGCAGGGGCAGTAGTACCCTTACCTTCACTGGCCACTGAAGTACATTCATCTGGAGAACAGAGAAGCGATTTCCTACCTTCAGATCTTCACTCTTAACTTTCCTTACTCTGATGCGCCTCCCATTACTGTGAACAACTCGCCACTTGTAGCAGGTGCTGGGCTGCACCTCACTGCTGGTAGCCGTTGCTACCTCCCCACCTACAGCCTCCTCACAGTGAGAGACAGACTGCACCTCACTGCTAGAAGCCTCATTCCCCACATCTCCAACCACCTCACACTCTCTCCCAGGCCCATTGAGGTGGACCTTCAGCCTCCTAATCTCCTCCTGGAGAAGCAAGACCTCCTCCTTCAACTCTCCAACCTCAGTTTTTAAAACACTGCAGAAGCAAGCCATGCTTTGTAACCGTCCACGCTAATCCCCAAAGCAGCTCAGGGTCTGTGACCTCACGTGACGACTGACCACTGAACACTGACACACATACATGATCCTTATCATGTGTGTGTATGAACTCACTTATATGTGGGTTGTAGGGATCGAGCCACATCTCGCGCGCGCGCGCGCGAGAGAGAGAGAGAGAGAGAGAGAGAGAGAGAGAGAGAGAGAGAGAGAGAGAGAGAGAGAGAGAGAGGAGAGAATTATATGATGTGTAATGTAATGGTGTACTCATTCCCTTTGTTTATTCAGTAAATAATTGTCATCTTGACTCCTCTTGATTTACTCTTTTACTCCTCTTTTTAGTTTAGTAAAACATTTATGTTATTTTCGTGTCATCTCTTCCTTTCATACCTGAGCAATACCTGATTAGGATCGGTATTTTTATATTGAGTATCTAACTATATACGTGTCTTTAAGAACATGGTTGCATGCGTGTTAATAAATTAAGTGGTACAGTGTACCAAATCTAGCAAGAGATATATTGTGGAATAGAAATGGAGACAACTAATCCGTGGTAAAAATGAGATAAAGATATTTATTTTAACAAATTACATGGTTATACAGAGGAATATAACAGTTGGGTGTACATGTTAAAAGCCCCTTCATATGCAGAGCATTTCGGGTATGTAATTTGTTTATGATTATAACCATGTATAGACGTGTAGATGATTCATTACCTTTGTAACTTGGTCATGATTGTGACCAGATCTGCCTGAAGTTCATTACCTTTGTAACTTGTTTAGCTATCAAAACTTTGGGGCCTAGTCCCTGGACCCATAATGTACCTCTGTAATCCTTTGACTACCGCCCACAGGATGGGTATGGGGTGTATAATAAAGATATTAAACTGTGTTAATGGTCACTTCTATTACTAAGCCCATGAAATCAACTATTTCTAAACACATGTATTCTTATGCAACTATGTTCTCAGAAAGTGTTATGAGAGATTTCCCTGGTGTTAATGTGATGATCATGTAGGCATGGTGGTAATAAGGTGTCTATCTCACATAGGGACAGGGAATCTGACATAATAAGATGTAAACGGAGATCTCACAGCTAGAGGAAATGGAAGAGAATCAGGTCGATACAAGAAAGAGGTCAGGTCTAATTCTTCGGATCTAGAGCCCCTCAAGGGGCTCTAGATCCTCAAGGTTCCTCCCTTGAGGGGCGTCATCAACCCTGATGCTCCACTCTATTACTACTGCAGGAGGTAGCGAACCCACTCGTTCTCTTAAATCAGTTGTTTTCTTATATAAGATTTTAAGTATATTTCTGTTTTATGTACATAATATATAAACAAAGCAATAACACGAAGCTGGCTAACGATTCTCCTAGTTAGCCTTAAATGTACATATTATTTAGGTTAGGTGAAAGCATAGTCTCTTAGCAAAAAATAAATATAGCACAGTGCCAGTGAATTCAATGATGCATAAAGACAATAAAAATGTTTGAAGCATGAAGTGAAAATGGTACCCATTGAGCGGGGTATAACATACACCTTCAAATGATGAGGTTATTTTCAGTCTCAGAGTCACACAATGGACATCTACGGTTAAAAAAAATCTGACATTGCTTACGAGGACGAGCGGATTAAAAAAAAAAAAAAACATAAATTAGATTAAAACTTTATCGATAGAAAAGTCGTTATACTAAAGTCCTTAGGCTTTTTATGTGTCTTTTTATCTACTGAATTACTACACATATTTTACTTGAAATGAGAAACTTAAAAAACTAGGCCGCAGCCTGTCTGTTAATGTAGTGGCTTTACAAGACGAAGAAAGTTCATATCTACACGAGAATAACTAGTGGAGCAAGTGACTGCACAAACTAATCTCATTTGCACACATCAAGTGCTTCGCAGTCATAGGTAAAAGTGCTTTGGAACGGAAGGATGCTTCTCAGCAGTGATGTATAAGAAAGTGCTGTGCGGGAACAAAAAGTTGTAGGCATGAGGCCAAGTCAGGAAAAAGAAGAGTAAATATGTTCAGGGTTTAATACTACCCAGAGACTGTAAAAGAGTGGATGTAGTACCAGTGGATCGCACACTTCCTTTGACCCTCGGAAGGGGAGATCTGCGAGGGTGAATACTGATCTCTCCTCCCTGGTTATAGGTAACGCTGTTTAAGTTGCCTTTATATTGCATAGAATTATTTATATTCTGAGAATTTGCTTGTTCTGAGGATGTCATATTCTTTGTAATAACAGAAAGAAATTCTCTCCAGAGTCGTCTGGCGCTGCGTTCCCGAAAGACATGAAACATAAAAATGAAGAATCCTTGAAGAGTGTTGAAAATGCAGAAGAGGTAAGAGAATAGCAAGCGTCCTTTCCAAATGGCCAGGATTCCAAAAATCCAAGTGAAACCAAGGAGAAAAAATACGCATATTGCCATCCTCAGCTGGCTTAAGAAAAGATTTTTGTCTGACATAGTTGAGGTCACGCGAACCCGACCACAGGTGGCGCCATAGATAATGAGACAGAACATGATTAAGTTGACGCTCATAGTCAGTGCCAATGGGGGTAAGAAAGCATACTTGAAACCCTCACTGGACATCCAGCAGATTTTAGTATCAGGATTGTAGTCATTTCCACTGTCATACAATGTACTGTCGAATACAAGAACGACGATAATTGGCAGCACAGGCACGCCCCAAGCAGTCACTGACGCTTTCCACATGAACCTGGGGATGTAAGTGCCTACCACCTTGACAAACTTAAGATACTGGTGCACCGCCTCTACCAGCATCCAACCAAAAGATGCCAGGATAAAGTAGTGAAGAGCAACAGCAACACTACGACACAAGATCACATTCCAGGTTTGATCAATACCTGCTAAGAAAATCACTATGCTACAAAAAACAGAGAAAGACAAGTTGACCAGAATCTTGTTGCTTAAAGGGCGTCTCCATTTCTTAAATAAGAAGAATGTAATGAACACTAGTAAGAGGCTAACAATCGATAAGCAACACCCGATTATGGTTATAATGTCTAGAACAAGAGCATGAATACCTTCAAATACATCATCACTGTAGTTCATAAGTTGAGCAAAACAAGTTAAGTGGTTGCAATAACAAACAGTGAGGTTACCTTCTGGCTCGTCCATCCAGCATCCCTCGCTTGACCAGCCACCTCTTCCTGCATTCTTTTTAAAATCCCAGTACACACATTTAGTGTCGTTTCCTTGTCTGGAAGGTCTGAAGATTAGTTTAATTGGTTCTTTGAGATTATTTATAATTTTACCGCCGTATGTGGCTTGAATAATATGACTGTTGACTGAATAATTAGGAAAGGATTCGCGGTCTTGAAATAACTTTGGATTTCTGTAAACTGCAAAAGTTAACTGGATCTTCTGCTTCTTGTTAATCTGTATTTTAGCGAGTCTTCCAGAGTCTGAAGCAACAATCCAAGTGAGGTTGGGAGGGAAGATAATGGCGACGTCACTATCCTGCAGGTTCATTTTGGTATCGATGTTTACCGTTTCTTCCTCGTGCCCTCCTACCTTGGCCTTGTAACCAATGACGGTGGAATTTATTTCTAAATCTATACGTTCGACAGATACTAGTTCCCTGAAGGCTTTCAACTTTTGGTCGCCTTCATTTTCAGGAAGCTTCACTTTAAAGGTAATGTTCTCAAAAGCTTCAAAGAGAATACTTGAGGAGTTTAATTTTCTCTGAACATTCTCAAATGCCTCAGCATCGGCTTTCATGACGTTATTAAGTGTTTCTACAATTTCTTCCAAATCATGTTCAAGGAGCGTCTTTTCATTTGATAAAGACTGAAACTTGGTAGCAACAAAATGTATATCAATCGGTTTAAGTGAACTTCCATTGGCAGTTAGAGTGGAGAGAGTAGTTATACTCGGGCTAGAAGATGAATTGGTCGAAGTAATTTCCCACAGCTGCTTGGTGATATTAGAGGGGTGGCCAGTGCAGGCTTCAGAGGGTCTTTCCCAGTAGTAGCCAACCAGGAAGTCTCCCACACACTCGCGAGTGATAGGTTCTCCCTTTGGGTTGACACACAACTCCTTAGGCAGCACTACGACGCTACCCTCTGTTTTCGGCCAAGTGAGATTTTTCTCAGTGATCCCATAATCTAGAGTAACATCGCTGACGCATCCGTGAGTACTTGTTATGTTGTTTAAGATACACCCGGAGAAATTTCCCTCAGTCTCAAATATTTCTGCTAAGGTTTCAAACGTGTCCCACTCTGTTATCATTGGAAGTGCATCATCAATTAATTTAAATTCCACATGAAAGTTGTAATATAGACCTTGCGCTGATTCATTTGGCATGTGAAAAAAATTATCAGCTTTTATTTCCACATAAAAAAGTCCCTGCTTTTTAAATTCTTTTTCAATTTTTGTCATAAAGGCAGACACACATCGAATTGAATTCAGCTCTTGGTGGGCGATAGGAATGAATGTAGCATCATGTAGTCTGGGTGTGTAGTCAATTACCCGAGAGAGTTTCACGGCGAACGTCAAAGTTCTGAATCCTCTATTGATTAGGATGTTAGACTGCACAAACTGAAAGGGGCTCCACATCCACGCATGACACTGATAATAGCCTTGACTCAAACTATCTATAACATTTACACACTCCAAATCACTTACTTGTCTAAGCTTGGTTACTTTACCGTTCACAAAGCACTTCAGATTATCCACCTTATCTTCGTCACTGACATACACACACACAGTTAAGGATGAATCATTCATCTTATAGACCTTAACTTGTGTTGGTAAGACTAACTGGGGCTCCTTCTGGCACAAGACATTTGATAAGACTACACTTTCCCCTTTTTTGTACCAGCCGTCAGTGCTGAACACAGAGTACGGTAGATTATAATCTGTATTGGCCTTCCAGTTTATCATATCTGCCGGTGAATCTGTCTCGCCTGGGCTACCAGGTGATACTAACTCTGCATTCATCCACACAGCATCCACACTGTTGTTGTATAAATACTGTCTAAACACCCAGTCTAAAAATCCAACACTGGGGGAGGCCAACTGAGCATCCCTTTCCTGGCAAAACTTATTAGCTTCATGCCACGTGAGGTTTCCAACATTCATGAACATTTTAAAGCATACATCTGGATTACTTTGAAGTACAGTAGAATGCCAGCCATGATTACAAGCTGGAGTATCAGTAATTAATTTGAGTACATTTAATTCTAAATTCGAGTCTCTTATATTCTTTAGTCTATACACGTCTAGGAGAGCAACAAACGGAAGAGCTATATCACAAGAGTGAGTAAAAATCTCATTCCTCTCCATGTCTAGGGCTAAACAGTCTTCTCTAGGGAGAGGATGATGTGGAGCCCACGATATATTTACAAGGTGCGACCCCTCGTAGTGTGAATACGGGAAGTCTGAAATTCCAGGGCCCATGTAAGTAAGAGGAGCCCAGGACACAATTCTCCTAACCGGCAGCCACACTCGGTTATATCCCATCGTCTTCAGGAGCTGCTTCACTATTTCGTAAACTGAAGACTCCCCTCGTTCCGCTCGATGGAATTCGAAGGAATCGAGAATGCCTCTCTGTAATTTATTTTTATATATAGCCTTAAATCCAGTTTCCCAAGTGTCTGGAGAGGTGTAAGAGAGACAAATACGGTCAGCGACGCCGGTGTAGTGACGGGGACAATACTCGAACCTCTTGCATCTGAAGGGATCGAAATCTATTGTAGCTCCGTGTGTGTAGTTCCAACGACAGTGACCTGGTTGTAACCTGTTACCAGATATTTCACAACGATAATTAAGAGGATTTACTTTCCCTATCGCAGTGAACGGCCACAAGATCTGATTGCCGTTTTCATAGTTAACTCTTCGTTTCAAGCAGTAGGATGAGAGTGCAGCCGAGGATGTTTTGAGGTAACCATTACTCTTAAAGAGATCTTTATAAACTTGAGTATCATTATCAAATAATTTCTGCACCCTTTTGAAGTGGTCCCCGACGCTAGGAATGTGTACTTGGAAACGATATTTGACAAATGCGTCTTCAGATCCACTCGACTCCATCACTGTAGAAGTAAGATCAACCGTGTAATTGTTGAAGTCAGGAAAGTGAGCAGTGAAAGTGTGTTGAATATGGCGGACAGCATCGTCCCTAGTGGGATAAGGAGGGAGGTGGCGGTGAGCATCCAGAACAAGCACCAGCCACCCATCCAGTGTCACCAACACCTGGTTGCTGATCAGTCTGGCCTCTGACTTGGACATCCACGCCTCACACCAGAAGGTGCCTTGCTTCAGCACCATGTGAGAGTGTTCCTCCGTCCAAGACTTGGTAGAGTCGTGCATCAGTACAGGTAACTGTACAGAAGTCACCGAACTGACGTACACTCCATCCTGCAAAACATCAGTCAGGTAACTATCACCACACATTTAGAAGCTAATGTACAGTGGATAAACAATGCACAAATAAGATTTTATTTAATAAATAAACCACTCAATAATTTCACAAAAATCATGGTTACTTTATGTTAAAGATCTAAGTGATGTAAATTAAGACTAATGAGAGAGACATTACGTGAGTTTTAATCCTGCACAGGAGACCTCTGACACTATTTAGTGCCTCAGCACATACATAAAATTGATTTAACAGCAGATGCTGTTCATTTTACCTTCATGTGCCTTCTTACTGCAACTTTTCAATGACCCTTTTTTTTAGGCATCTAACCTGACCTGCCATGTATTTTATAGCCGCCATCCCCCTCAGTGTGGCAAAACGTCACACTAACAAAAGGTTTCTGAATGTGTCTTTTTGTTGGCTCATAACCATTCGTTCACACTAATGGAAGAATTATTCTCGGAGACATTTTTCTTGTATCGACAACGTTCTTTCCCTAGACTCCTGTACACGTTTGTTTACATGTTTCCCAACATCTGTTCTGTGATTTACTCAGCCCTTCATAGTCATTTCTTGTAACATTCATTCCCAGATAACTAATATTTCAACAACCTCTATATTCCTTCTTTCCAGTTTGACTTCAGTCTTTCATTCTCGATATTTTAACTCTCTCTTCTCTCTCTCTCTCTCTCTCTCTCTAGAGAGAGAGAGAGAGAGAGAGAGAGAGAGATAAACAAGCTACATCGGTTCTCTGACCTTGTTCCAGAACGCCTGGGGTTGGTCCTGGAGAGGTTCTCCCGTCAAGGTGTGGTGAGCCGTGCAGGTCAGAGAGAGATAGGGGAACTTATTCTCGCTCACTCTTACTAAACCATCCTCTATCTTCATGTTGGCCATCACACGAAGCTCCACGCCCGTCAAGTTCACTTCTGAAAGATGTAGATCGTTGTGAAACAGCCCACCTTCACTACTTGCACTCTGTGTTAAGAACGTAATGTTTATGACGCTCTCATTTTTTGAAAGTGCCACCCAAATGCCAGAAGTGTCCCTACCGTTTTTGTAATAGGCTTAATGTTTATAAATGTATGTGATTCGTATTATACTATTCTTTTGTATATAAAATAAATAAATAAAAGTGTTCAGTGGATTGGTATAGATTGTGTTGAAGTTGTAATTTGTGAAAGTTTTGACATTAGTCCATATGTTGGACAACATTTTTATGTTTGTGTACATTCTTGTATTCTGTAAGTTTTTTAAATAAAATATAAAAAAAAATGTTGATTAGCTCTACGTATATATATAAATTTATTTAAACAAATCTAACCTAACATAACTCAAACTGATCTTGTTCTAAGCGAAGAGAATAATAATAATAATAATAATAATAATAATAATAATAATAATAATAATAATAATAATAATAATAATAATAATATCTTTATTTCTACAAGTACATGTACAAGGTATACAGACCATAGTGACATACTACTATATAAAAAGCCCCTTGTTATGCAGGGCATTTCAGGCAAATTAGGTCAATTTTCTCAGGATGCGACCCACACTAGTCGACTAACACCCAGGTACCTATTTTACTGATGGGTGAACAGGAACAACAGGGAAACATGCCCAGTGTTTTCACCCATGTCGGGAATCGAACCACAGACCCTCAGCGTGTGAAGCGAGAGCTTCGCCTAGCAGGCCGCGGGCGGGAATAAATGCAGAATAAGCAATAAAACAAACGATGTAAATAAAAGATAGATGGTAACAAAAAGACAGTTGAGGAATTGTTTGACAAAATGTCGTACAGACGCATTAAAAACTCGCATTCAATTGTCACATACAAGACACTTGCACTAAAATGTCACTATCAATGACTCGCGAAACTATAAAAAAAATGTTTATAAATTTGACTTGACATACAACAATAAGTAAAGTGAATCGTAAGTTTAAAGAAGCACTGCCAGTTAAAATAAAATGAAGAACACCGAGACTTTCTCATGACGTCCAACAAGCATCTGCAGACACCCCGGTGTATTATTTCTTAATGACTTCAACCTCTTTTAGCTGTTACCTACAAGATGGGGTTACTATTGTCCACAAAATGGGCGTAGAATACGTAGTAAAGCTGTCAAATGAGGATGATATTAATGGGTTTACATATCATCGAAGCACGACTGCCTGGTGCCGTCTGAATTAACACTTGTTCCTTCTTAATACTATGTGGACAACACGAGTAACTGAAGTAATGGCAAAATTAAGATGCTATATATGTGTGCGGTGCAGTATACTCTCTACCAGGGGTATCCTCCCATGCATTTTTTTTCCCATGTAGCGGCCATTGTTTCCGGGAGAAAAAAAGGATGAAGGATGGGATAGGCAAGCCAACACTATGGTTGTTTTTCCCTGGACTCGCGGCTGATCCAGAAAAGAGAGGCAGCTGCCCCACTTTTCCCAACGGACGCCCATGTTCACAGTATTTGACAATGTAAATAAAACGGCGCCCGAATGAACTATGGTCCTATATGAAAAAGGACGACCTGCGAGGCGGAAGAGCTGGGATGATGTGTTGCGCGGGGTGAAGGTGGAAGCCAAAAAAAAAGAAAAAAGAAAAAGATACAGAGGGAGAGAGAGAGAGAGAGAGAGAGAGGGGACAAGACAGTAGTCGTAAAATAATAAAGGAAATTGGTGCATCAACCAAAATTATAGAGCCATATGCAAAATGTCTTAAAAAAGTGTGAAAGAAGCACAGTTGCTGATTTACAAGTATGAGGGAAGAACATCTGAGGCAATACAGGGTGGTGACAGAATCTCAAATGTTCAAGTATAACTATGAGACCTACCTGGTGTAGCAGGACGCAAGATGCAGTAGAAGTAAAGTGTCTGGTGACAGGGACTGAGGAAGAAGGTCTGGCTGAAGAGGTGTAGCGCAGCACACTCCTCGCTCCAAGCGTAAGGTATCTCCGACCAGGGTACGAAGTCCCCCATGGCTGCAGGACACGCTGTCAAGGTCTTAATGTCCTTACTGGGCTACGTGTGGGGTGTTAAGCTTAGTCTGTGGCCTTACTAGGCTTATTATGAGGTGTCAGGTGAGGTCTGTGACCTTACTAGACTTATTATGAGGTGTCAGGTGAGGTCTGTGGCCTTACTAGGCATCGCATGATGGTCAAGCTTAGTCTGTGGCCTTACTAGGCATCGTATGAAGTGTTAGGCGAGGTCTGTGACCATACTAGGCATCGTATGATGGGTCAAGCTTAGTCTATGGCCTTAGTATGTTATTGTTTTTCAGCATTTTGTTGAAATTTAATCTAATTATATTGTCAGTCATCAATATTAATATTATTTTCACAAAATAGGAGAGCCCTTAAATAACTTGTTAATATGCTTATTTTGGAAAATTATTCACACATACATCAACACACAACTCTTTCTCTCCCCCCACCTCAGAGGACAGAGAGAGATACTCACCCGGGTGAACAGACATCCACTGGTATTGTCCGTGGGTCCTCGTTAGTGCCGTCCAGGTCAGCTCGTGGAAGCTGAGGTTTCGCACTGGCCAGGCCAAGATTCCTATGGGCCAGGTCAAATTCCTCTGGAGCCAGGTCACGTTCCAAGGTGGCCAGACCTCCTGCAGTTGCTGCAACTCATCCTTCCCCGCAAGGAACCCTCCGCGGCTGCGACAGAAGGAGTGAGCTGCCTTCCACCCCTGAGTTGAGAAGTCGTATGTACTGAATATGAGAAATACATATTTAGGTATGGCAAAAACGAATCCAACAACAAACAATGGTCAGTGACACAAAGGAACCTACATGCAAACCAGAAACAATAATTATTAATGATACAAACTCACATGGAGATATATACCAGGCAACGATACAAACCAGCTCACATGGACACTCAAAAAAATGTAAAATGAGAAGTGTATAATAGAAAAATTGAAAAACAAAGACAAATAATAAATTTGAGGAAACTGGATAAAGACGTAAGTATCATACAGCGGCTGGGAAATGGTGGCAGTCAGTTTTAATACTGGGAAGACAAGGGTTGATTCAGTTCCTGGAATAAACTTCAACCAGCATAAAGGTATCCCTCCTAAATGAAGGAAGACAAAGAGCCAGTAGCATTGTTGTATGTCAAGTAGCTTCTTCAGTAGACTAAAATTGTGGTAACGGCCGACAAAAAGTGATGAACACTTATTATATGACTTTTAGTTTTATAGTTAATAAAAGAATATAGAGATAAGTCAGGTGTTTACCAACCCAGTGACTTTATTAGCAAGAGGCAGGAAAGACTTAATCATGAATGACCTCGTTGGTAATTAGGTTAGTTGTGCTTAAGTTACTAGTGCCGCTGGACGACTTCTCGTAACTCACTGTATGTTGACGTAACTCACTATATCTTGGCGTATATCACTGTATCTTGACGTAACTCACTGCATGTTGACGTAACTCACTGTATCTTGACGTAAGTTACTGTATCTTGACGTAACTCACTGTATCTTGACGTAACTCACTATATCGTGACGTAACTCATTGTATCTTGACGTAACTCACTGTATCTTGGCGTAACTCACTATATTTTGACGTAACTCATTGTATCTTGGCGTAACTCACTGTATCTGGACGTAAGTCACTGTATCTTGACGTAAGTCACTATCTTGATGTAACTCACTGTATCTTGACGTAACTCGTTGTATCTTGACGTAACTCACTGTATCTTGACGTATCTCACTGTATCTTGACGTAACTCACTGTATCTTGGCGTATCTCACTGTATCTTGACGTAACTCACTGTATCTTGACGTATTTCACTGTATCTTGACGTAACTCACTGTATCTTGGCGTATCTCACTGTATCTTGACGTAACTCATTGTATCTTGACGTAACTCACTGTATCTTGGCGTATCTCACTGTATCTTGACGTATCTCACTGTATCTTAACGTAACTCACTGTATCTTGACGTAACTCACTGTATCTTGGCGTAACTCACTGTATCTTGCCGTAACTCATTGTATCTTGACGTAACTCACTGTATCTTGGCGTATCTCACTGTATCTTGATGTATCTCACTGTATCTTGACGTAACTCACTGTATCTTGACGTAACTCACTGTACCTTGACGTAACTCACTGTATCTTGGCGTATCTCACTGTATTTTGACGTACTCATTGTATCTTGACGTATCTCACTGTATCTTGACGTAACTCACTGTATCTTGACGTAACTCACTGTATCTTGACGTAACTCACTGTATCTTGGCATATCTCACTGTATCTTGACGTAACTCATTGCTCATTGTATCTTGACGTAACTCATTGTATCTTGACGTAACTCACTGTATCTTGACGTAACTCATTGTATCTTGACGTAACTCACTGTATCTTGACGTAACTCACTGTACCTTGACGTAACTCACTGTATCTTGACGTAACTCACTGTATCTTGGCGTATATCACTGTATCTTGACGTAACTCACTGTATCTTGGCATATCTCACTGTATCTTGACGTAACTCATTGTATCTTGACGTAACTCATTGTATCTTGACGTAACTCATTGTATCTTTACGTAACTCATTGTATCTTGACGTAACTCATTGTATCTTGACGTAACTCACTGTATCTTGACGTAACTCACTGTATCTTGATGTAACTCATTGTATCTTGGCGTATCTCACTGTATCTTGACGTAACTCACTGTATCTTGGCACATCTCACTGTATCTTGACGTAACTCATTGTATCTTGACGTAACTCATTGTATCGACGTAACTCATTGTATCTTGACGTAACTCACTGTATCTTGGCGTATCTCACTGTATCTTGACGCAACTCACTGTATCTTGGCGTATCTCACTGTATCTAGACGTAACTCACTATATCTTGACGTAACTCACTGTATCTTGACGTAACTCACTGTATCTTGACGTTCGTCAAGATTTTAACTTTTTTATAAGCACTTATTTAGAATTTCTTTCAATTAGTTAAATTAAAAAAAAACAAAAACAGGCTGTAGTCTTTTTCTTTTCTTCTTTGTTTCATCTAATTCTTCTTTTTCTGCTCTTTGTTTCTACTATTTCCTGCATCCCTTTGCCTCCTCCTCTTCCCCAGGGTGCGACCCACAACACTCGACTAACATCTGGGTACCTACTTACTGCTTAGGCGAACAGGGACAGCTTGATGCCCCATCAAGCCCTTCCACTCGCGTGGTGTTCAACCCTGGGTCTTTCAGATGTGATCTGAAGGCGCTAACGACTAAGCCACGGGCACACTATATTTCCACATTGAAAAAACAATTGAGGTGCTCACTGGATGACCATACTAAGAGAGGACTTCGTATGTTATGATAGAAAATGTGTAAATCCTGTCGGTATTTTGACTGCGGTCACCCACCATTTGCTAGCCACGAGCAATGGTTTACTCTGCATTACTCAAATAACCCACACATTGGAGAGAGGAGCTTACGACGACGTTTCGGTCGATAAATTAGACACATGTGCAACATTTGGGTATCTTTAATGAGGAAATGTTTCGCCACACAGTGGCTTCATCAGTCCATACAAAGGAGAATGGTGAATAACAGGAGGAGTTGGAGTCGATGTAATCAGTTCATCAATCTTGAAGAGATGGACTGATTGCATCGACTCAAGGCTGAGGGACTGATTACCTCAAGCTCTCGTCTCTTACACTATTCTCGTTGAATGGACGTGATGAAGCCACTGTGTGCGAACAATTTCTCATCTAAGATACTCATGTTGCACTAGTCTCAATTTATGACGAAACTCGTCGTAACTCCTCCTTTCCAATGTGCTGGGTTTTTGGACTGTTCAAGTCGCAGTATGTATGCCAACTTTGTTACTCTGCATTGACCAGAACCAAGCTTTCACATTAAAGCATAATTTATCACAACGTTAGATGAAAGAAATGGATGCAATGTGTGATTTATTTTGTTTTCAGTTCTTGACCGAGACTTCCAGAACCTTTGTTTCTTACCCGGTTTACCAGGATCTCGGTGTATACCATGAGAGAACACACTACTGTTTGTATCAATAAGCTGAAAAGATGGACACCTCTCGGTGTATATTATTGATTCACGCTCTGACCGTATACCGCTCGACGAACACATCTCTGTGTATCTAACTGAGAATCACACTCCGGTGTATACGCAGAATACCACCTCTCGGTGTATATACACTGAGAATACACACCTCTCGGTGTATATAAGCTGAGAGATCACATACCTCTCGTGTATATACGCTAAGAGATACAACTGTGTATTACACTGAGAATCACACTCTCGGTGTATATACGCGAGAGATACACACCTCTCGGTGTATATATGCTGAGAAATACACACCTCTCGGTGTATATACGCTAAGAGATACACACCTCTCGGTGTATATACACTGAGAAATACACACCTCTCGGTGTATATACGCTGAGAGATACATACCTCTCAGTGTATATAACCTACACTTAATCACTTAACAGATCATCATGATTAAGACCAAGGTTGGAAGACATTTCCAAATAATAATAATATCACAATCACTACCACGACGACCACAACCACCACCACGACAACCACAACCACCATTACCACCACCACCGCTACTAAGTACTAGACAATCATACACTTACCATGGGTCGAGTACCAGCCAAGAAACAGTTACGGGAAACAGTGGAGCTGCAGCGAGGGATAGGCACAACTTCTGGCTGTGGATAGATGACCGGCATCTTCGGGACTTCTGTTGACCAATCTACCGTTGTACTGAAAGCTGTAGACAGGTGTAAAGTTGAGGCCGTAGTTGAGGAAGCGGCCTTGGTCTCCTGTTCTGCAGCTGAGAGCCTTTCTAAGAGCATAGAGAGGCAGAGCAGCAGCAGGGTAAGCTGCAAGTTGGTGCTCTCTTGTCTCTTTGTCCATGCAGGAGAGAGAGTCTTGGTGTGAGTGCTGGTTGTAAGGACGTCTGCTGCATCATGACTGGTGTGAGTGCTGGTTGTGAGGACGTCTGCTGCATCATGACTGGTGTGAGTGCTGGTTGTGGGACGTCTGCTGCATCATGACTGGTGTGAGTGCTGGTTGTGAGGACGTCTGCTGCATCATGACTGGTGTGAGTGCTGGTTGTGAGGACGTCTGCTGCATCATGACTGGTGTGAGTGCTGGTTGTGAGGACGTCTGCTGCATCATGACTGGTGTGAGTGCTGGTTGTGAGGACGTCTGCTGCATCATGACTGGTGTGAGTGCTGGTGTGAGGACGTCTGCTGCATATGACTGGTGTGAGTGCTGGTTGTGAGGACGTCTGCTGCATTGTGACTGGTGTGAGTGCTGGTTGTGAGGACGTCTGCTGCATCATGACTGGTGTGAGTGTTGGTTGTGAGGACGTCTGCTGCATCATGACTGGTGTGAGTGCTGGTTGTGAGGACGTCTGCTGCATCATGACTGGTGTGAGTGCTGGTTGTGAGGACGTCTGCTGCATCATGACTGGTGTGAGTGCTGGTTGTGAGGACGTCTGCTGCATCATGACTGGTGTGAGTGCTGGTTGTGAGGACGTCTTCTGTATCCTAGCTGGCAGGCAGCCTAGGCTTGTTGATGCTGTTGGTAGAAGAGACAAATGTAAAATCGTGCCACGTCAGCACTGCACATCAGCACTGCAATCTCTGATCACTGATATTAATACACTTTTGCAGTGAAATGAGAATCTCACCATTGACCGTAAACCAACAAGTCGTAGAGAAAACTTTAGATAACCTTCCCTGAAGTGATGATGGTATGGAGGGATCAAAACGTCATATGGTTCCCTTTTCCAGTTTACTGATTAGCTATGTATTCCAGAGGTACATAATTTCCATTCTCAAGCAGATAAACAACACAGACACAAGTCTAAAAAAACACACATATGTATCTATATACATCTTGCATTTAAAATAAGAACATAAGAAAGAAGAAACACTGCAGCAGGCCTACTGGCCCATGCGAGGCAGGTCCAAGTCTCCTACCTACTAATTTTAGTATAGCTCCTGGAGAAGGAAATTTATTATTATGGCGACAACAGTAAATTAATTTCACCGTTACAGTATTAAAAAAAAATAATTGTCAGAAAGAGTAAATGCAACGTTATGGCAACATAAGTTCCTACTCTTAATGTACATAGAGAAATAATTAACACAACTAAATCTATCATGTTTATACATAAAATAATTTGAGACATGGACGACAAGTCACACTAATTAATATTTAGTTAGTTGGATGTAATAAATATTATTGATTAATGTACAACATAATTATATAATTATCTAGTTATATTGTATTAATAAATATTATTATGTCATTGATATTATTATATTATATTATTATTATTATTATTATATTATTATTATTATTATTTATTATTATTATTGTATTTATTATTATTATTATTATTATTATTATTATTATTATTATTATTATTATTATTTTATTATTATTATTATTTTATTATTATTATTATTATTATTATTATTATTATTATTATTATTATTATTATTATTATTATTATTATTATTATTGTTATTATTATTATTATTATTATTATTATTATTATTATTATTATTATTATTATTATTATTATTATTATTATTTATTATTTTATTGTTATTATTTTATTGTTATTATTATTATTATTATTATTATTATTATTATATTATTATTATTATTATTATTATTATTATTATTATTATTATTTTATTATTATTATTATTATTATTATTATATTATTATTATTATTATTATTATTATTATTATTATTATTTATTATTTTATTATTATTATTTATTATTATTATTATTATTATTATTATTATTATTATTATTATATTATTATTATTATTATTATTATATATTATTATTATTGTTATTATTATTAATTATTTGTTATTCATGCTTTTATGTTCAATATTTTTTTAATAAATATTGCAAGAATCCATCGGTTATTTAGATCAGTAAGTGTTACTGTATGACTGTAGTCTCACCTACAGTACTGTATCTCAGCTACTGTATCACACCTGTAAGACCTGCAGTACTGTATCTCACTTCAGTATCCCCACTCAGCTACTGTATCACTAGTGTAACACCTACAGTACTGTATCTCACTTCAATATCCCCACTCAGCTACTGTATCACTAGTATAACACTTACAGTACTGTATCTCACTTCAGTACCCTCACTCAGCTACTGTATCACTACTGTAACACCTAAAGTACTACCGAGAGCGAGTCAGTAGAAAGTGACTGAAGTGGTAGATCAGTGCTACACCTCCGTGAGCGTATTGTCGACTAGCATCAGCCTTTCTGATAGAATATTGAGCTCTAGGGGAACACGTACATGTGGTAGGCTTGCCAAGGCTGACGACACACGACACGGACAGGATATCCTCTCCTGCCCGTCGCTTGTGTCCTGCTGCTGCTTACCACAGAAAGAGTTCTGCTTTCCCAAAAAGAAAGATAGAGAAAGCGCCGTTCGAGAGTGAGAGGATCTTGATCCAAGGAATTAGATCAAGGAAACACATCACTAACTCATCTCCTTCGAGAAGGTCGAGGATATATGAGCTCAGATGAGCCTTCGAAGTTCACCGTTCATCCCTCTCCGCCACCCTCATAGAGTAGCCACTAAACTTGCCACTTGCAGGATTCAACTCTAGCTAACCGATTTGCCCGAATCATTTCATAAATGCTACCTTGCTCACACTCCAACAGCACGTCAAATCCCGTAGTTCCACTCTTATTTGATATACTCAAAATAATTTTCGCCACGATTTTATTAAACCCTCCTGGGACGTCTGGCACACCTTCATCACCACTCCCGATTTATAGACCCTCCTGGTCAACCTTTTCTGTTCTTATCTTTTAAAATGACCAGATTATCTCAAATCTTCCTCTTCTCTCTTATGTGTACTTTCTAATTTTTATGCTCATTATTCTCTGCATAATATTCACACCACGCATTTCTCCCCAACGTAACATCGTTGCCTCCAGCCTCCTCTTCTCTACAACGTTTGAAGTCCTACTTCTTAAACCCATGTAAGAGTGTTGGTATCCCTATACTCTTGTACATTGCCCTGGTACATTACCCTAGTACATTGCCCTGGTACATTGCCCTGGTACATTGCCCTGGTACATTGCCCTGGTACATTACCCTAGCACATTACCCTGGTACATTGCCCTGGTACATTGCCCTGGTACATTACCCTAGTATATTGCCCTGGTACATTGCCCTGGTACATTGCCCTGGTACATTACCCTGGTACATTGCCCTGGTACATTGCCCTGGTTCATTTCCCTGGTACATTGCCCTCATACATTACCCTGGTACACTCCCCTGGTACATTACCCTAGTACATTGCCCTGGTACATTGCCCTGGTACAGTGCCCTTGAACATTGCCCTGGTACATTGCCCTGGTACATTCCTCTGGTACATTGCCCTGGTACATTCCTCTGGTACATTGCCCTGGTACATTCCTCTGGTACATTGCCCTGGTACATTGCCCTGGTACATTGCCCTGGTACATTACCCTGGTACATTGCCCTGGTACATTACCCTGGTACACTCCCCTGGTACATTACCCTAGTACATTGCCCTGGTACATTGCCCTGGTACAGTGCCCTTGTACATTGCCCTGGTACATTGCCCTGGTACATTCCTCTGGTACATTGCCCTGGTACATTCCCCTGGTACATTGCCCTGGTACATTCCTCTGGTACATTGCCCTGGTACATTGCCCTGGTACATTGTCCTGGTACATTCCTCTGGTACATTGCCCTGGTACATTGCCCTGGTACATTGCCCTGGTACATTCCTCTGGTACATTGCCCTGGTACATTGCCCTGGTACATTGCCCTGGTACATTCCTCGGTACATTGCCCTGGTACATTGCCCTGGTACATTCCCTGGTACATTGCCCTGGTACATTGCCCTGGTACATTCCTCTGGTACATTGCCCTGGTACATTGCCCTGGTACATTCCTCTGGTACATTGCCCTGGTACATTGCCCTGGTACATTGCCCTGGTACATTCCTCTGGTACATTGCCCTGGTACATTGCCCTGGTACATTCCTCTGGTACATTGCCCTGGTACATTCCTCTGGTACATTGCCCTGGTACATTGCCCTGGTACATTCCTCTGGTACATTGCCCTGGTACATTGCCCTGGTACATTCCTCTGGTACATTGCCCTGGTACATTGCCCTGGTACATTCCTCTGGTACATTGCCCTGGTACATTGCCCTGGTACATTCCTCTGGTACATTGCCCTGGTACATTGCCCTGGTACATTCCTCTGGTACATTGCCCTGGTACATTGCCCTGGTACATTGCCCTGGTACATTCCTCTGGTACATTGCCCTGGTACATTGCCCTGGTACATTCCTCTGGTACATTGCCCTGGTACATTCCTCTGGTACATTGCCCTGGTACATTGCCCTGGTACATTCCTCTGGTACATTCCTCTGGTACATTGCCCTGGTACATTCCTCTGGTACATTGCCCTGGTACATTCCTCTGGTACATTGCCCTGGTACATTCCTCTGGTACATTGCCCTGGTACATTGCCCTGGTACATTCCTCTGGTACATTCCTCTGGTACATTGCCCTGGTACATTCCTCTGGTACATTGCCCTGGTACATTCCTCTGGTACATTGCCCTGGTACATTGCCCTGGTACATTCCTCTGGTACATTGCCCTGGTACATTGCCCTGGTACATTCCTCTGGTACATTGCCCTGGTACATTGCCCTGGTACATTCCTCTGGTACATTGCCCTGGTACATTGCCCTGGTACATTGCCCTGGTACATTCCTCTGGTACATTCCTCTGGTACATTGCCCTGGTACATTCCTCTGGTACATTCCTCTGGTACATTGCCCTGGTACATTCCTCTGGTACATTGCCCTGGTACATTCCTCTGGTACATTGCCCTGGTACATTCCTCTGGTACATTGTCCTGGTACATTCTCCATCTACTTCCACTGAAACACTCCTACAGACTCCTTAACACTCCACGTACATT